AATTAATAGAAAATTGTATTGATTGTAAGAAAGAAATGATAAAAAATAATAATAATTACCTTGTGGATAATTTGAATAAATCAATTGATACATTAAATGAGCTTTCAAATAGATTAAAAGAAAATAATGAAAAAGAAAGTATAAAATTAATTGAAAATTCATATAAAATTTTAATTATAACAGATGTTGGATTGAATAAAGTTGTATTATGCAATGGTTGCAAAGAAAAGGTAATTGAAAACTTAGAGGCTGATTGTGGAAATAAAGAAATAGCCAAGTTTCTTTATAAATGTAAAAAAATAAATAGATATGGGGATGATTATATTGAATGGATTCCTTTTAATGCATTTAAAAATATTGAATATTTGGCTAAAGGTGGTTTTGGTGAAGTTCATAAAGCAATATGGATTAACTATTATCTATTTTTTAATGATAAATTTAAAACAAATGTGGTATTAAAAAAATTATATAACTCAAATAATAAAATTGTAGATATTTTAAAAGAGGTAATATTAATTAATTATTGTTACATATAAGAAATAATATTAATTGTATTTATAATTATTGATAATTTTTAGTTAAAAACAAATAATAAAATGGGCCATAGTGTCAATAAATGCTTTGGAATTACAAAAGATCCAAGCACAAATGAATATATGTTGGTATTTGAATATGCTGAAAATGGAGATTTACATAATAATTTATCAAATAATTTCAAGGAAATTACTTGGGAATATAAAATTGAATCACTTTGTTCTATTTCAGAAGGGCAGGTTTTTAATTTTGTTATTGATTAAAAATTTTTTTTTATAAAATTGACTTTATTTTATTATTAAAATAAACTAGATTAGAGGACATTCATAAAGAGAATTATATTCATCATGACTTGCACAGTGGTAACATTTTTTCATACTGGCTAGATATTAATTTAATAGGAGATTTAGGGTTGTGTCAGCAAATAATAGATAAAAATGAGAATCTAAATGAGATTTTTGGAGTCATTCCATACCTGGCACCTGAAGTATTATCAGGTAAACAATATACAAAAGAATCAGACA